GCAGGGCCCATGCGAAGTCAGTGCCCAGGCCGAGTCTCATTCCTCGGCCTCCCTGCCATGTTCAGTTGGAGATTAAATCTCCGTGGACTCTGCCCAACTTCCACGGGACTCTGCTCTGCTGGGAGCTTTTGTGCACTGAGAATGGAGGCTTCAGACAGGCTGTTCCAGACTGACCCACCAGGTGGTGCTGCTGCCACAAGCCCAGTGCCACCTTCAGCAGGGTCGTCTCCATAAGACACCTGGTTGTGCTGACTTCCCCATAGAAAAGAGAAGTCTGCCTTTGTCAGAGAACTGACAGTGCTGGCCAGTACTAAATGTATTCCTTTGTGGTTTTTTTTTTCTCTCTTTTAATTCAAGGGGCAGGGACATCCTGGCACTTGGGTAAAGGACCCCTGAGCCAGCAACCCAACCCAGGTCTCCCATGTGGGTGGCAGGAACCTATTACTCAAGCCATCACTGTCTGCCAGGATTTACAAGTGCAAGAAGCTGGAGTCAGGAGTTGGGGGCAGTGTAAAACCCCAGGCTCTCCGATGCAGAATGCAGGCTGCGGGATATGGGAGCCTGTACTAGAGTGTGAGCAAACAAAACACCTGCTTCAAGTTTTCTTCTTCTTTTTTTTTTTAAGACTTATTTGTTTTTATTGGAAAGTCAGATATACAGAGAGGAAGATCTTCTGTCCAATGATTCACTCCCTGAGTAGCCACAACAGCTGGAGCTTAGTCCATCCGAAGCTAACAGTTTGGAGCTTCTTCTGGTTCTCCCACACAGGTGCAGGGTCCCAAGGCTTTGGGCCGTCCTCGACTGCTTTCCCAGGCCACAGGCAGGGAGCTGGATAGAAAGTGGAGCTGCTTGGATTAGAACCGGTGCCCATATGGGATCCTGGTGTGTTCAAGGTGAGGACTTTATCCGCTAGGCCACCGTGTCAGGCCCTCAAATTTTATGCTTTTGTCTGCCACTTAGGGACTGACCAGACTCAGATCTTGTGCCATCAAGTAAAAATACAGCCAAAGTGACAAAGTCAGAGAGGACAGATGAGGGACAGACTGGGTGCCCCTGGGAAACCCTGCTTGCCCTCCAGTACTAGGAAGGGTAGTACAATCCCAAGATGCCCCAAGCACGCTGGCTCTAAGCTGGCCCAGGGGGCAGAACGTGGGCGCTGGCAGAGCCTGGAAGACAAGGCAAATGATGCCAGTGCCTGCCTAGCCAAGAATATGCCCACTGTGCTCCCTGCTGGGTCTGACCTGGAGGTTTAATGAGGTGCCCAAGCAGTGGGCCAGGCACCGTGGCAGCTGAACATTCGTACCCAAGGAACCTTACCAGCATGATGGGTAGAGCACTAGAGGGCCTGATTTTTTTTAATAAAGGATTTTTAAAAGATTTATTTATTTTTATTGAAAAGGCGGATATACAGAGAGGAGGAGAGACAGAGGAAGATCTTTCGTCCGATGGTTCACTCCCCTAGTGGCTTGAGTTCAGCCAGTCCGAAAACAGGAGCTAGGAGCTCTTCCAGGTTTCCCACACTGGCGCAGGATCCCAAGACTTCAGGCTGTCCTCGACTGCTTTCCCAGGCCACAAGCAGGGAGCTGGATGGGAAGCAGGGCAGCCGGGATTAGAACCAATGTGCCAAGCCGGAGAGCTACTTTTAATCCCTGGAACTGGGACACTCAGGTCACCCTGTCCTTGACCAGGGTGGCAGTGTGGCTGCAGGCATTATCTCCCCTCCCTGGCATCTTTAAACCCTGTTCCAGTTTCTTGTTTGGTGGTTAGGTCTCTCTCCTGTCTGAAGGTCACAGACAAAGGATTAAGGGGGAGGGTGAAGGAGGCTTCCTGGGGATGGACTACACTGGCCACGGAAGGCGAAAGGCTGTGGTTGGAACGCTCAGAGCCATGGACTTGGGGTTGTAAGTCCATCCCTGGTTCCTTGGCCCCCTTTTGGATTTGGCTGTGCCTCTGTTGCCCATGGGGCTTAGGAAGTGACATCTGGGAGTCCCTCCAAATACATTTTCTCCTCATCTTCTCTCCCACCCCCAGACCTAGCAGCAGCCCAACATCTGTTGCTTCCTCTGCTGCCCACCTCTCCTTGTTGGCTTGTCCATGAGAACGGCGCCCTGACCTTGGCCCAAGTCCGCAAGTTGGCCTTGGTTCCCAAGAGTACAGCCGTAGCCCCTACTACCACTACCTGTACCAACCCAGAAGTGAGCTCCCCGTGGTCTCCACCCAGGAAGGGCTGCACCCCATGCTGGCCCTGGTCCCAACTCCCTTCTGTGGACCCCATACTCCAAGCTCTCCCTGCCTCTGGCTGCCATCTGGCCTTGGCCCTTCGTCTCCAGGTTAGCCAACTTGGGGGCACAGTTCTTTGGCGTCTGGCCTGGTTTCCATCTGCTGCCCCGTTGCTTGGGAGACTAAGGTCAGACCTGCCCACCCCAGGGGGAGCTAGGCACAGTCTTGGACCCAGATGGGAGGAAGCAGGGCCAGGGCGCCTCCTCCCTGAGGGCTGGGGATCAGGCCTGGCCCTGCCGCTGACCAGCTGTGTGCTCCTGGGCCCTGGGCCTTTGTCTTTGTGTGACAGCGGAGATGGATAACAACACACATCTCATGCGATTGTGATGATGAAGCCAGGCAGGATGGGTGCAGTGTTAGCAGCGAAAGGCACTATTTGCCCGTTGCTCTTGGCAAACATTCCTGTTTGCTTGCTTTAAAATGGGGTTAGGCATAGGGTTGGCACAATGGCTCACTCAAACACCAGAATTCCATAGGAGCACCAAGTTTGTGTCCTGGATGCTCCACTTTCCATCCAGCTCCCTGCTTGTGGCCTGGGAAGGCAGTGGAGGACGGCCCAAAGCCTTGGGACCCTGCACCCATGTGGGTGACCCAGAAGAAGTTCCTGGGTTCGAATCAGCTTAACTCCTGCTGTTGCCACTTGGGGAGTGAACCAGCGGAAGGAAGATCTTCGTCTCTATATATCTGACTTTCCAATAAAAATATAAATAGATTTTTTTTTAAAATCTGCCTTCCCAAGGAAAATAAACACAAATCTAGAAAAAAAAATAAATAAAAAGCAAAATGAGATTAGGTAATATTTTAGAATGTAGGGCTGGGGTGCTCAGGATCCCTGTACCCCATATTCCAGCCCCAGGCTGTTCTGTTTCTGTCCTGACTAGCTGCAGATGCACACTGGGGGGATGGGAGGGGGTGGCACAGGATGCTTTGGCAGAGGATGGCTCAGATGCTTTGGGCTCTGCCGGCTACCTGGGAGATGCCTATTGAGCTCTGGGCTCCTTGTTTGGCCTGGCACAGCCCTAGCTGTTGTGGGCATTTGGGGGAGGAAACTCAAAAAACTCTCTCTTTTTTTGGAAAGAGAGACAGAGGGTAGAGGCTCTGTCTCTCTTTCCAAAAAAAAATGTCAGATAACAGTATGTTATCTGGCTTGTTTCAAAGTCCAATTCTTAATGAAAAAAAAAAAAAGCAGGGATGACACAGGTATAAATGGGTTGTGTGCTGCTGAGCTGTTGTGCTCATGCCGATATTACTCTTTTGAACTTGTTTTAATTCTTAGCATTAGAGGGCACACAGGAGGGACACCCCTGTGCAGCAGAGGGGGCTTCCGGTGGGAACCCAGTGTCCCTCTCAGGGTGGGTCAGGCCATGCTGCTGGCCCTGGGGGCCACAGACTGGGGTGCAGTCCTGAAGAGGGGCTCTCCCACCCCCTACGGTCCCTCTCACTCTGGGGCAGAGTGGCCCAGGGTTTCAGCTACTGAGGGCTTCATCCAGGGTTCGGGGAGCTCAGCCCTGCATGCTCTCTTGGGTGGGTGGAGTGGGGAGTACATCTCAACGTCACCTTCTCAGCCTGCTGCAGCAGCACCTGGAGGAATGGCAAAGCCAGATAGTTGGGCTGGCCACAGGGCCAGTGTGTGAACCCCATCTACATCTGTGTGTTCTTTCAAGGTCGAACATTCACTCCCAGGCCTATGCAACCTCCTCCTCTCTCATCTCTGCACAGCTCCGCTCAGGCTACATGTGCAGGAAGCACCTGCTCAGTGCACCTGCCGAGCTGTTGGTGGGGGGCGGGACTTCCCTTTCTTGGGGTCCCTGCAGCACAAGCAGACCTGCTGGCCTGGGCCCTCCCATAGCCTAAGGGATTACAGACACCTGAACTCAGAGTAGGCAGGTGGCTCCAAGAAGGATGAGCAGTGCCAAGGGACCCAGCCTGGACCGTGCGGTCACTGAGTCCTTCAAGAGGGAGAGATGTCCTCAAGTGGACCTGACCCCCTTGGGCACACGCCGGGCGTCCCTATCTTCCTAATGAGGAAGGGGCCCGCCTAATTATATCCCCCCTCCGCTCACATGGAAATGAGTTTGGATTTTCTGAGCCTACACCAGCTGGCTGGGGGGAGGCAGCCCAGAAGGCTGCTGGCTGGCTGGGGAGAGGAGGAGAAAGGAGCGGGAGGGGAGGGAGCCAGGCCAAGATGCAAAACCCCCGGTGTTCTCACGGGCAGCGCGATGGTGGGTGCTGAGTCCTCCGGACAGCTCGCTCACCGCCTCACCTCCTTCCTCCCTCTCCTCCCAAACCCGGACAAGCACCTTGCTCTCCGCTAAGAGGACTCCTCAGGGGGGTGGGGGAGGGTCCCCGCGAACAAGCCTATCGTCTGAGAATCACAGCCCGCCTCCTCGGGGTGCAGACCCCTGAGCCGGCCTCAGCGAGGAGGTGATCCCCGGTGTGTGTGTTGGTGGGGCGGGATCAGGCGCCCAGAGTGAGCCTCTCCGCCACTTGCAAGCCATTCCTTTGATGGAGTAGGGGGACTGGAGCGGAGGCCCGGGCTGGAGACCCCCTCCTGCCTTCACCCCACTCTGGTCGCCCGCCTCGGGTCCAGCAGGTGCCCGCGGGGCTTGGGGTGGTGCGGGGCGGGGGCGGGGCGGGGTGGGGTCAGGCATTGGCTCCGCCCCTGGCGCTGGGTTCTGCCTGCGGCCGGGCGCCGGCTCAGTGTCGGCTGCTCGCCGCTGTCGCTCCGGGGCCGCGGGATGACGCCTCCTCCGCCCGGACGGGCCGCCCCCCGCGCGCCGCAAGCCCGCGTCTGCAGCCTGCCGCCGTCGCCGGCCCCCAGCGGGCACCCGCTGCGGCTGCTGCTGCTGCTCTGCGCGGCCGCCGCCTCCGCCCAAGGCCACCCGAAGAGCGGACCCCGCATCGCCGCCGTCTGGAAAGGTAGGCGGCGCCGGGCGCGGGACGGACGCTGCGCGGGCGAGCGCCCGGGTGTGCGGCACCGGCGCGAGTGCGTGCGCGCGGTTCTGCGGCCCCGGGCCGGCCGCCGGGTGGCGTGGGTCCCGGCGCCCGTGTCCGCTGCGCGCACCGGGGAGTGCAGCACGGGGCGGCTTGGGGAGCGCGTAGCCCGGCCCGGCTAAGTCACTGCAAGTCCGCCCGCGGCGCCGGGGGTTGTGGGTCCCCGTCTCCCGGCCCTGAGCGGCTCTTAGCCCTTGAGGCGTGGCGGAGCGGGGTGGGGTGGCGGGTTCTGTGCAGGACCCTTCCCCTGCTGGCCTCCCGACCTCCTGCGCCCTCCTCCCTGGCTGCGGGGCTGTCTGCTGGCGCGCGGGGCTTGGACTGGGCGGGCGAGGGGGGCGCGGACCTCTCGGCGTCGCCGCCGCGCTCCGGCTGCGGGAACAAAGACCCCGCCGCTTGCCCCCGCCCCCGCCCCGGCCCGGAGCGCCGACCGGGCTGCTAGGGGGTGGGCTTCCTGCAACGAGCCCGGTTTGGGGTGAGGCGGGTGCTGGGGGCACCCGGGCGCCTTCGCCGCAGTGCTGGGACCGGCCGCTCCCCCCGCCCCACACCGTGCCCGCACGTGGCAGCTGTCACCAGAGATGGACGCGGGCGCGGGGGCAGTGCCCATCGGGTGGGGTGCGGCTACCGGGACCCCCCTCCCCACCACCAAGAGGCGGATCCGAGGCGGGGCTGCAGGCTCAGGCTGTTGTGGGTGTGAGAACCTGGCCGGTGGCAGGGGACCAAGGCTGGTGATACTCAAGAGTAGAACCCCCTGTGCCGTGGGACAGAAAGCCTACACGGGGGTGGGGGTGTGAGCTTGCTCCCCTGCATTGCACACAAACGCCCCCAGGCCCACCAGGCGGTGTCCCCAATTTTGGCGTCTTTGCAGGGACCTCCCTGTGGTGGGAGTGGTGGGGTTGCACGGGGGTAACCATGCCCAGCCGCCGTCCCCTCCCCCGCCCCGAGCCTTTTCTTTGGTACTTTGCAGCAACTGCGGAGTCCCAGCATTATCTGGGGCAGGTATTCTTAGCAGAGGGAAAAACCCACACATAGAAAGGGACCGGAGCTGCCGCAGCAGCCTCCCGTGGCTCAGGGATTGGGACTCGCCCAAGGTCACTGGGCAGCCAGGGAGTGCGCTGGGCCTGCAGGGGCTGCCTTCCAGCATAGGACAAGGTCTTGAGGCTGAGGTGAAGGAGCAGCGGCTGATGGTTCTCCCACTACAGAAGAGTGTCTGGCCAGGACAGTGGGGGAAGCTGGAGCATGCTTCCCCCAGCCTCCCCCAGCTCTGGCCCAGGCTTCCTCTGCAGCATGGGCACCTCGCCTCCATCCCCTTTAGCCTTGTCTTGGACGCCACAGCCCTTGGGACAAATGCCACTACTCAGTGTTCTGGAATCTCCCTTTGCTACTATCTGCTCTCCTCGCTAAGGTCCTGCTTCCCCCTCCCTCCCCCTCCTCCTGCCCCTAACACACACACACACACACACACACACACACACACACACACTCTTAATGCACACTCACCTCTTAGCACTTTAATGCACATACTGGGCACTTAGTCCCCACCCCAAAGCTACTTTCCACTTTGCTGAGCCTCCAACTTAGCACCATGCCTCCACCAGCCCCCACTTCAGGGTTCACTGCTATGATCATACAGGCCATGCCCTCTGCCAGCTAGAACCCTGTGGGCTGGGGTCCACCATTCCTAGCTCACCAGTTTTATCCGAGGACAGTCTGTGTCTGCCTGCACCAGTGCCAGGTATCCCACTGGCCAGACAGCCCCTGCCATTCACCTGCCACCCGGGGCCACCAGCTGGTGACCGGTGTGCCCGGCTGACAGCTGCCTCCTGTCTCCCATGGGTTTAACACATGGCAATTGGACAGGAATGGACCAGAGTAGGACAGACCCTGGAGTGGAGGCTGGTGAGGCTGCCATCCCGCCCCGGGCCCGGTGTCATCCTGGAGTCCTGTCCACTGCTGCGTGGCTGGGGCATGGCAATGCCGAGGCTGTAGGGGATCCTGGAGCTGGAATAGGAGTGGAGAGTGAGCCCCAGAAAGAGAGCAGCCCAGCAGGCACTGCAGGAAAGGGGCTTCCTGGGACAGGGCCAAAGCTGGGCGAGGATGGACTGGATACAGAGAACATGCCTGCACAGACTGCTGGGCGTCCTTGAACTCTGTACCTGGCTGTGACCCTCAGGGTACCAGAACAAGCAGGGGTATGGATGAGACACAGATGTGAAGGGGTGTGTGTGTGGTCCCAGCCCCCCAGCAGGCTGAACACTGCAAGTTGGCATGACGCCCTCCCCACTCCAGCAGCGAACATTTGCAGGAGCTGGAGAGGCCAAGGAGTAGTTGCTCACTCTTTTCCAAGATCAGAGGTGAACCAGCCTGAACCCAGGCTGCCACTTCCACCTGCCAGGCTGGTTTTCCCTCTCTCTGGCCCAGTGAAACAACAGGATGTTATTGTTGACTTGGTGGCCCTGCTGGGGAGCCATGCTGGGGCCCCTCGCTTGCTCCCCAGGGCAGGGGCCTGCTGTCACCACCTCCCAGAGGAGGAATGAGGTCACAGCTGGGGCTCCCCTGGTACCAGCATTTCCAGTGGAAATCCTTTGCCAGCCTGGGAACTTTGATGTAGTCATCACCTCCGAGATGAACACCCCCTGTAGAATTGAAGCAGAAGGGAGGATGGGGGCAGGTAATCCCCAGGAGGAGAGGGGGTTTCCTAGGCTGGCAGTGATGTCACCAAGAGCTTCCTCCTGCGCTCAGGGATGTCTCAGTTCTCCCCCCCATGGGGAAGCTGTGGAGCAGGTGGCAATGGGTTATACTCCCACAAAAGAGTGCCAGCTCTGGGCTGTGTGACTCTGGCCAAGTCCTTGCCTTTCACTGGGTCTCTGTTTCCCCAAATGTCCAAAAAGGGTCAGAGGAGGGCTAATTTGTTCTCAGGCCTCGCTGTCCCTGGGTGGCAGGGGAGCACTGGTGGGGACTGCTGCAATCTTTGAGAAGATGAAATGCAGGAGAGCAGGGCGGTCCCTGGAGTTTTCTCTCCTGGGCCCAGTGTCGAAATGGGTTGGAGGAAGTGGCTTGTTTTTGGCCTGCGGCTTCTGGGGTGGACCTGCTCACGCAACAGACATTTGCAGGGGGTAGTCCTTGGAGACTGTTGAATGTGGACAGAGAGATGGGGAGATAAACCCAGCAGTCCTAGAGCAAGTGGCCTTGAGGGCCAGGGTAAGTGACCTGCCCGGGCTGCTGGCTCAGGGCACCTTTTGGAAGAAGCAGTCAACTGACATGGATAGGGGTAGGAATCAGCCTGGCTGTAGGAAGAAGGGGGGAGGGGAGGATAGGAGAAAGATCCACCAGTCACGCCCTGAGACCCCAAATGTGGCAGCTGGGATTCCGGAGAAGAGCCAGCGTGTTGGTGGGGGGGGGGGGGGGGCTCATGAAGACCTTGCCCTAGGGCCTGTGTGGGTTTCTCTGCAGGAAGGACATCTGAGCTGGGCCACCTGTCCCCTGCAAAGCAGCCTCTTGCTGGGTTGCGGGAGGGACCCAGGTGGGCAGGAGAGGCCTGTCCAGAGGCAGTAATGCTAGAAGTGGGGGGAGGGGGGAGTAATTGCAGCTTCCAGACCAGGACTGCCCCACTGACTCCTGAAGGCGCCCACCCCAATCCCCCTCTGCAGAGCCCCTCCCGCACCCCCTCGTCCACCTGCTGGCCTGCTGGGTGGGGCAGCTGCCCTTCCTCTGACCAGCTTCCCCTTCCTGCAACCTTGACCTCTTTGAGCATGGGTGGCTCTGTCTCTAGGAGGAAAGCAGATCCCAGGCAACTGGGGGAGGAAGGGGAACCAGGAGAGGGCCAGGTAGGCTGTGAGGACGTGGATGGTGGAGTCTGGCCCTAGGCTCCTTTTTCCTGCCTCACAGGAGGCTGACCACTCGTTCTGGCTTGTGCCGGCAGCTACAAGCCTGACAAGTTTCTCTTTCTTCCGTTTTTTTTTTTTTTTCCTGCAGCTGGGCCCGGCTGCCCCAGAAGCTGTTTTCCTCTTCCAGGCTGGGGCAGGACCTTTGACCCTTTGACCCACCTGCCTTCAGAAGAGGCGGGACTTCCTGACCTCCCAAAGGAGTGGCTGTCAGGTGGAGGGGTCTTGGTGGAGTCGGGGGAAGGCAGCTATCCTGGCCTCAAGGAGACAGCCCAGAGAAAGCTTGGGGAGGGCCCGGAGGCAGCGGCCCTTGTGGAGAACAGGGCCTTCCTCTTTCTCTACCTCACCTGGGCCACAAGGGCTGGCCCTTCCCCAGCCTCCGTGGCACAGGGAAGTTCTCCAAGCCCTTGTCTCCTCCTGACCCTGGCCCCTCTAGTCCTGTCAGCCCTCCCTCTCCCAGGCTATCCTGGGCATTCCTGAGCTGTCCTGCAGGAGGATGTGGCTCTGCAGGCCAGCCGGCAATTGCCTGCTGCACCGCCGTATCCCATTCCATGTGATTTTCAGTTCCTCCGTGTCACCATCTGCAGTGACCTCAGCATGCTCAGGACAGACGTCAAAGATCAACTGGGCCAATCACACACCCACCCCGCAGCCGGAGACACTGAGGCCAGCCGATGACGGAGTCTGGTCCAGGTTCCCCTGCCTGACAAATAGAGCCAGGAGGCAAAGCTGAGCCTTGCCCCCTGAGCCTACTGCAGCTCCAAGCCCTTAGCCTCTCCCTGAGTTGGCCATCTTGGGCTAGGGACCCCTCATGCTGCCTTGGAGCCATGCCAGCAGCCTCGGCTGCCCTCAGTCTCCCCCTCAGACACACACTTTGGCTGGTCTCTGCTCTTGGTGGGGCAGGGCTAAGTATGTGTGTTTGAGGGGGGGTTAGGTTGATCCGTGTCACGGCTGGGGCTAATCTGGGTTTAGCCGTCACGGCAGCTCCGGATTAGACTGATCCTGCTGCGCCTCCAGCACCCTTGCTCCCAGCAGGGCCCTGGG